CCCACCTCTGCTGCTGGGCCTCACTTCCGCTGCTGGGTTGAGGAGCGGTGGCCTCCCGATAAGCACTACTGTTTCCTCTGGGGAAGGAAGGGAAGGCGGGGGCAGGTGCTAGATAGAAGGCCCACTGCTGGGCCAGCTCAGAGCCAATGGAGCTCAGCCATAGCAGGCCGGGGGACCAGCAAGGTAGCCCCAGGATCAGCTCCTCAGGAGGCCTTCTGTTAGAACAGGTGAGGGGCACTGGTGGGTCAAGAGGCTGAGCGGTCCCAATGCCTTGGGGCTGGGCCTTCCTGCCTGGGAGTAGGTCTCCAGGGTTACTGTATCTTTCCACCTTGCTCCTAGGTTGAAGCTCAGCCCCACCACTTCTCCCCCGAAGAGGTAAGAGGTGGAGTTGGGAGGATGTGGAAGGATGTGGGAAGCAGCCCTGCAGCCTCTCAGAGGGAGGTCCCTCAGCCTGAAGGAGGCCGACTACATCATCCTCATTCGGGGCCTGAGGTGTTGGTATCAGGGAGGGCTGCTTGGTGATGGGGTTCCTGAGGTGGCCCTGCTGTGTCGCAGCGGGACCTGCTGTATGAAGAGGCCCTGTACACTGTCCTGCACCGCCTGGGTCAGCCAGAGCCCAACCATGTGAAGGAGGCCTCAGAGCTGCTGTGGTATCTGCAGGAGGTAGGTCCAGCACCGACCCTTACCCACCTTCCTGCCGCCAAGGCTCAGGAGTTCTCCCTTCCGGCCTGGCCACCCCACCTCATGCCCCCAGCCTCCCACACTTCTGCCCCCTACCAGGCCTTCCAGGTGCAGCCTGAGGAGCACCAACGGATGTTGCAGCGTGTCAGAGAGCTTGAGGTAAGCTGGGCCTGGGCGCTCTGGGCAAGGAGGGGGCGTGGGAAGCCCAACTGGCTCAGAGACTCAGGCTGCCTCCTCCCATGCCTCCAGAAGCCCATATTTTGTCTGAAGGCAACAGTGAAACAGGCCAAAGGCATTTTGGGCAAGGATGTCAGTGGTGAGTGTGGGTGGGGTGCCTCAGGTCCTCCTCTTCCCATCACAGTCTGGCCCAGAACTCTTTGCCAGAGAGCCCATCCCCCAAACATCCACACTGCTGCTGGCCCCTTGTACTTGGCAGCTGGGCTTGGAGGGACCCTGTTCAGCCTTTTCTGTCTTTTCCCAGAGGAGGCTGGGCCCCAGAGAGAGATTGATGGGAACTGAAGGGAACCCTGGAGCCTTGTCCTCCCTCTCCCCAGGATTCAGTGATCCCTACTGCCTGCTGGGCATTGAGCAGGGGGTTGGTGTATCAGGGGGCAGCCCTGGGTCCCGCCGTCGGCAGAAGGCTGTGGTGAGGCACACCATTCCTGAAGAGCAGACCCACCGCACCCAAGTCATCAGCCAGACACTGAATCCCGTCTGGGATGAGACCTTTATCTTGTATGTGGCCCTGCCCCAGCCCCCATCCTCTGTTCCCTGCACGCATCTGGGGCTCCTCTGAGAAGTAGGTCTCTCCAGCCAACGAGATCAGTGATCTTCCTGGCTCAAAAAAAGGGGCCTGACCCTGAGGGCTCACAAGTTGAGCTAGAGGGAAAGTAGGACAGACAGGACAGACCCATGACATAATGCCACTTGTGTATCTGCCTGGTATGATGGTAGACACCTGTGATCTTAACCCTCAAGAGGCTGAAGAAGAAAAGGGACAAGCTCATGGCCAGCCTAGGCTACATGGCAAGACTGCCTCATAAATAAATAAATAATAAATAAATAAATACTGGTGGAGCAGGGACAGTTGGGCCCCTCTGGATGAATGGAGGTACCTGCAGCCTTACCTTGAAGGAGGAAGAGAAGTGGTTAACAGGGAAGGAAGAACTAAGGTAGGGAGGGGCCTACTGGGGATGGCAGCTTTAGGAGCCAGGTTCTAGGCTTATGGCCCATCCTCATGGCCTGGCCTGATATGGGGGAGGAGGGCTCAGTCCTACTCTACTAAGCTCCTTAAGTGTACATGCTTTTTTCCTCCCTAAAGAGAGTTTGAAGACATAACCAATGCAAGCTTTCACCTGGACATGTGGTGAGTGATGTGCCCTGCCCTGGGTATGGGAATCAGAAAGACTGGGGGCGTATGGCAGAGCCTTCCTACCGATGGGGTCATGGGCCCCTTTTCCGCCTCTTGCTCATACCACTGGCCTACAGGGACCTGGACACTGTGGAGTCTGTCAGACAAAAGCTTGGGGAGCTCACAGATCTGCACGGGCTCCGAAGGTGGGTGCGGCAGACTCAGAGGGAGGAAAGGGCTCTGTCTTTTTTCCACATGCACCCTGGATGCTGGTCTGCAGGCTCTGTCCTTGGGTGCCTTGGCGTCTGCAGGTGAGAACAAATTCTAATCTGATCCTTCACCAATCCTGCCTAAAATAGGATCTTTAAAGAAGCTCGGAAGGACAAAGGCCAGGATGACTTTCTGGGGAACGTGGTTCTGAGGTTGCAGGTAAGGGCTGTGGAGAAGGATCAGGAGAGAGACAAAGGCAGGAGTAAAGGACTCTGGAGAGGGGCTCCAGGTCTAGGCCAAACTGAGCCTAGGGTCTGCCCCTACTGCCTTCCTGCCCCCAGCTCAACTCTGTACAAGGTCCTGATACTCATTACTGTTTCCTGCCAGGACCTGCGCTGCCGAGAGGATCATTGGTACCCGCTAGAGCCCTGCACTGAGACCTACCCAGACCGTGGCCAGTGCCACCTCCAGTTCCAGTTCATTCACAAGCGGGTAAGTCTGGGGCTGTGTCCTCCTTCAACTAGGGCCTTCTGGGTTGGGGAGGGGTGGCCACACCTGGCACAGAGTCCTCTACTCACAACCCTGCTGACTCCATTGCAGAGAGCCACTGTGGCCAGCCGCTCCCAGCCCAGCTACACTGTACACCTCCACCTTCTGCAGCAGCTGGTGTCCCATGAGGTCACCCAGCACCAGGTACTGCCCTGCTGGAGTTAGGTACCACCAGTGCTGCCTGTTGGGTCCTGATATGTCTTACTGTTTCCCTCAGGCAGGCAGTACCTCCTGGGACGCATCACTGAGTGCCCAGGCAACAACCATCCTCTTTCTCCATGCAACACAGAAGGATCTGTCCGACTTCCACCAGTCTATGGCGTGAGTACACAGCCCTGCTCAGAACACCTCCTCCACTGTCTGCCTACAGGCCGGCAATCCAAAGCCCACCTCTCAGGAGTGTGCTTTTGGGCCCAAACTGTGTGCTTTAAGTTTTGGATCAGTTACAAATTTTTCAAATCTGGAGATTTCACTCTCAACTCAGGTTCTAGCTGCTCTTGAATCAGGAGTGCTAGAATTTTAGGTTGGCCAGAGCAGAGTTGCGTGTCCTGTATCCAGAATGTCACTTCCCTTCTTTGCATCTCCCAAGTTCTGGGCTTTGCCACTCTGCTCCAGCCCCATTTCCCAATGCCACAGGATCATGGCAGCAAATAACTGACATCCACAGGTCAATGTTAAGGTCAGGCATGGTGGTGCAGGCCTATAATCAATCCCAGCATCCAGAAGGCTGAGGCAGGAAAATTGCAAAAAGTTTGAGGCCACCCTGAGCAACAGGGTTAGGTACTGTCTTAAAAATCAAAACTGGAGGGGGCTGGAGAGATGGCTCAGAGGTTAAGAACACTGGTTGTTCTTCAGAAGACCTGGGTTTGAATCCCAGCACCCACATGGAAGCTAACAACTGTCTATAACTCCAGTCCCAGGGGATCCAACAGCCTCTTCTGACCTCCGAGGGCATTGCATGACACAGGTGCACTTACTTATATGCAGGCAATACACACATACACACAAAATTTTTAAAAAATTAATAAAATTTTTAAAAGTTTTAAAAAAAAACCTGGAAATAAATAACAGCAAATCTGTTTTCTCCAGGGCCATGTCAGATTCTGGGAATGTCAGGAAGGTGCACTCAGGAATTACCGGCATGTCAGGAGTGGAGAATGGCCACACCTAGGGTGCTGGTCACCAGAAGGCCACCTGGACCTGGCTGCAGTTTGGTCTTTGAGTGGGAAGCATGGGAGAAAGAAATTGGGCAATCCTGGGGCTGTTTGTGCTTTTGGAACCTTAGGCAGGATGTTCTTGAAGAGGAAGCTGCAGGGGGAGGAGGATGAGGCCAGTGTAGGTACCAGAAGGTAAGAGGCTAGCTTTGCCTTCAGGGCCCAAGCACACAGTGCAGGCAACAGCTGTTCCAGTAGGGACATCAGCCTGTCTCTGGTTGCTCTTCCCCTCCCCCTTTCCCCATAAGCCTGTCTAGCTCAATCATCCCTTCCGTCCAGTCTTCTCTAAGCTGCCTAAAGGAAAGTTCCAGCTGATGACCACCATGTGTGCATGAAGGCCAAAGTCTCTAAATCTGATTTTTCTTTTTTTAAAAATTATTTTTTTATTTTATGTGTATGAGTGTGTTGCCTGCATGTATGTGAGTGCACCCGTGTCGTGCAATGCCGTGGAGGTCAGAAGAGGGCTTCGGATTCCCCTGGAACTGGAGTTAAGGACGGTTTGCAGCCGCCATGTCGGTGCTGGGAATCAAACTCAGGTCCTCTGCAAGAGCAGTCAATGCTCTTAACTGCTGAGCAATCTCTCCAGCCCAATGATTTTTCCTTTTTTTAAAAATTTAATTTTATTTATTTATTTTTGTTTTTTGGGGTTTTTTTTTTGAGACAGTGTTTCCTTGTAGCCCCGGCTGTCCTGGAACTCACTATGTAGACCAGGCTGGCCTCGAACTCACAAAGATCCATCTGCCTCTGCCTCCCAAGTGCCAGGATTAAAGGCGTACACCACCACGCCCAGCCTTACTATTTTTATTTTATGTGTATGAGTGTATTACCTGCATGTATGTAAGTGCACCCATGTTGTGCAATGCCATGGAGGTCAGAAGAGGCTGTCAGATCCCCTAGGACTGGAGTTACAGACAGTTGTTAGCTGCCATGTGGGTGCTGGGATTTGATCCCAGTTCTTCTTAAGAACAACCAGTGTTCTTAACTGCTGAGCCATCTCTCCAGCCCCTCTTTTTTTTTAATAATTTTTTTATTATTTTTATTTTATGTGTATGAGCATATTGCCTGCATGTGTGTAAGTGCACCTGTGTCATGGAATGCCCACAGAAGTCAAAATAGGACATCAGGTACGCTGGAACTGGAGTTATGGACAGTTGTTAGCTGCCATGTGGGTGCTGGGATTTGAACCCAGGTCTGCAAGAACAGCCAGCGCTCTTAACCACTAAGCCATCTCTCTAGCCCTCTCAATCTGATTTTCTAAAGAAACAAGAAATCCTAAAGTTTTATCCAGGCATAGTGGCTCACACTTGTAATCTTAGCACTTGGGAAGTGGGGACAGGAGTTCAATGTCATTCTCAAGAATATAGTGAGTTGAATTCAAGGCTAGCCTGGCTACATGAGACCCTGTCTGAAAATTTTAAAAAAGAGGGGCTGAAGGGGTCTGGAGAGATGGCTCAGAGGTTGAGAACACTGGTTGCTCTTGCAGAAGACCAGGGTTCGAATCCCAGCACCCACATGGCAGCTAACAACTGTCTGTAACTCCAGTCCCAGGGGATCTGACAGCCTCTTCTGACCTCCTCGGGCATTGCTGGACACGACACAGGTGCACTTAGCTACATGCAGGCAATACACGCATACACATAAAATAAGAGAAATAAAAGCTTTAAAAAAAAAAATTAAAAAAAAAAGGGGCTGGGAAAATAGCTCAGTCAGTTAAGTGCTTGCTCTGCAAGCATTAGGACCTGAGTTCAACCCACATTTTTAAAAGCAGGGTGTGGCAGGACATGCCTAAAATCCCAGCACTGGGAGGCCAAGAGAGGAAGATCGCTGAGGCTTGCTGGCCAGCCAGTCTGGGTGAATTAGAGCTCTAAATTCAGTGAGAAATTCTGTCTCAAAAAATAAGATGAAAAGTGGTTTCATACTATACCTCATGTTGACTTCTGGCCTCCACACGCATGTACACACTTGTATGCAGACCTTCACACACAAGAAATCCTGGGATTTTCTTTCTTTTTTGGGGGGGGGCCGTCTTTTTGAGACAAGGTCTCCCTGTAGCCTCAGCTGGCCTGGAGCTCGCTGTGTAGACCAGGCTGGCCTTGAACTCAGAGGTCCTCCCACCTCTGCCTCCTGAGTGCTGGGATTAAAGGCATGCGCCACCACACCCAGCTTTTTTTTTTTAAGGTTTATTTTCACTAAAAAATATTATTTTTTGAGGCTGGAGAGATGGCTCAGTGGTTAAGAACACTGTTTGCTCTTGCAGAAGACCTGGGTTTGAATCCCAGCACCCACATGGCAGCTAACAACTGTCCGTAAGTCCAGTTCCAGGGGATCCGACAGCCTCTTCTATTTTCCACAGGCATTGCACAACACGGGTGCACTTACCTACACAGAGACACACACATACACATAAAATAAAAATAATAAAATATTAAAAAAGAAAACATTTAAAATTTTTTAAGCTAGGCAAGGTGGCACATGCTTTGAATCCCAGCACTCGGGAGGCAGAGGCAGATGGATCTTTGTGAGTTCAAAGCCAGCCTGGTCTACATAGTGAGTTCCAGGACAGCTGGGGCTATAAGGCGACCCTGTCTCAAAAAGACAAAAAAAAAAAATTTTTATGTTATGTATAGACATGTATTGCCTACATGTATATAAGTGCACACATGTCATGTGTTGCCTGAGGAGGTAAGAAAAGGGTATTTGGATACCCTGGAGCTGAGTTATGGATGGTTGTTTGCCATCATGTAGATGCTGAGACTCAAACTCAGGTCCTCTAGAACAGCAAGTGTTCTTTACCACTGAGACATCTCTCCAACCCCTCAAGATTTTTTTATTTTGTTTTATGGGTGTGAGTGTTTTGCCTACTTGTATATAAGTGCACCTTATGGTTGCAGTGCTCCTAGAGGCCAGAAGAGGATGTCAGATCTCTTGGAACTGGAGTTACTATGAGCACCTTGCTGGTGCTGAGAACTGAACCCAGGCCCTCTGGAAGAGCAGCAACAGGTGGTTCTTAATTACTGAGCCATCTCTTTGGTCACTGAAGTTATTTTTAACTTCATTTTATTTTATCATTATTATTATTATGGTGTGTGTGTGTGTGTGTGTGTGTGTGTGTGTGCGTGTAATTGCTACAGTGTGCATGTGGAGGTCAGAGGACAATTTTTTGCCACTTTATGAGGTTCTAAGGATCAAACTTGGTCATTAGGCTTAGCAGCAGGCATCTTTACCCACTTAGCCATCTTGCTGGCCCCAGAAATCCTGAAGCCTTAGCAACATAAAAGCCACAATTTAAGAGATAGGTGATTTGAAAACCATCCATGGAAACAAAAATCCTGTAAGCCACTATTAGTTAAATCTGTAAATCACTATTAGTTAAATCTGTAAGTCACTGTTAGCTACTGGACTTCAGCCTCTGCTGGTGGATAGACTCCACAAGACACTCTGGAGCAAGGCAGTGTTGCCTTCTTGGGCCCTAATGAGGATTTTCTGACCCTGCAGGCAGTGGCTGGCCTACAGCCGCCTCTACCAGAGTCTGGAGTTCCCCAGCAGCTGCCTCCTACATCCTATCACTAGCATCGAGTACCAGTGGATACAGGGCCGACTCAAGGCAGAACAGGTAAATGGGGTGAAGGGTGTGAGGCAGACAGGGCTCTGGGAAGGGGATAGCCTACAACATCTTCCCGTCTTTCCAGCGGGAGGAACTGGCCACCTCGTTTACCTCCTTGCTGGCCTATGGCCTCTCCCTCATCCGGAAGTTCCGCTCCGTCTTTCCCCTCTCTGTCTCTGACTCTCCGGCCCGGCTGCAGTCTCTCCTTAGGTCAGTAGCTATCCTTTTCTTTTGCAGAGGGGTCAGGGGTTCTTCTGAGTCACGGTGGGGGTGGGGCCACAGGCCTGTGGACATAGTTCTTTGTCTCCCAGAGTCTTGGTACAGATGTGCAAGATGAAGGCCTTTGGAGAACTGTGCCCAAACAGTGCCCCGCTGTCCCAGCTGGTTTCTGAGGCTCTGCGGGTAAGCACTTTCCCTAGAGTGAGGGCAGGTGTATACCTTGGTCTAGCAACCCTTCCTTGCTCACCACCTGTCTTCCAACAGACTGGCACAGTTGAATGGTTTCACCTGAAACAGCAGCACCATCAGCCCATGGTGCAGGTAGGGGCTAGGGCCATGTGTGGGGAGGGGATATGGTGTCTGCCCATGCAACCCTTTTCAGCCATCTGTGTCTTTCCCAGGGTATCCTGGAGGCAGGGAAGGCATTGCTAAGCCTGGTACAAGACATTATGGGTGACTTGCACCAGTGCCGTCGCACGTGGAACAAGGTCTTTCACAAGTGAGCAGATGTGGGTCTGAAGTGAGTGGGCCTGTGGGACCCTAGTGGGCACCAGTGTGATACACCCATTCCCTTTCTTTAGTGCCCTCAAGATAGACCTCTTCTCCATGGCCTTCCTGGAACTGCAGTGGCTGGTAAGGCCCTCTGCCATCCCTAGGCAGCACCCCTCTGTCCAACTCTGCAGCCCTGCCTACCAGGCCTTTTTCCTTGCAGGTGGCCAAGCGGGTACAGGACCACACAGTGGCAGTGGGCAGCCTGGTGTCTCCAGAGATGGGTGAGAGTCTATTCCAGCTCTATGTCAGCCTCAAGGAGCTCTGCCAGCTGGGCCCAGCCCCCTCAGACAGGTGTGCAACAGGTTGCTTAGAGGTGGGCTGTAGGGATGGAGGAGAAAAGATGGTCAACAAGGGCTCTGGCCCAAGGCCAGTGCCTGCCTTCCATAGGCTGAGCCCCTACTCTCCCTAGTGATGGACCCCTGGCCCTGGATGGTTTCCACCGCTGGTTCCAGCCAGCCATCCCCTCCTGGCTGCAGAAGACCTACAGTGTTGCCCTGGAGCGGGTGCAGCGTGCTGTACAGATGGACACGGTGCAGGCGGGGCTCTGTGTTTGGGAGTGTGGTGGGGTTCTCTGCTGGGACCTCAGAGCTGCGAGAAGCCTGTAACCCTCTCTGAATATCTCCTCTGGGCACTCTTCAGGCCAACAGTGTATAAAATGTGGCTGTCTGATATCCTGGGGTTCAATAGGGCTTCTCTGGGTTTAGGGATCCTGCAGGCCTGGGGGACATTGGGCAGAAGCTTCTTTGTCCTCCCTGTAGAGTCTTGCCCAGTTCTGATCTTGATGTGGGGGGTAAACTTGTGCCTTCCCTAAGCCTTCTTTTCTAAGAGCTCCCCCTTTCCCCAGCTGGTGCCCCTGGGTGAACTGACCAAGCACAGTACTTCTGCTGTGGATCTGTCCACTTGCTTTGCCCAGATCAGCCACACTGCCCGGCAGCTGGACTGGCCAGACCCAGAGGAGGCCTTCATGATCACTGTCAAGTTTGTGGAGGTCAGCATCGTCCCTTGTGTCCTTCCCCATCTGTAGGAAGTCTCACTGCCACCCCACCCAGTTTCTCCCAGGTTCTCAAACTACTAGTCACAACTAGACCCCACATGGCTTGTGCCCTAAATTCCAAGTTGCTAATAAGATTCCCCTCTAAATACCCATCCTGAGAGCTCCACCCATTGATCCATCCCCTCTGACCCACCCATCCTAGGACACCTGCCGACTGGCCTTGGTATACTGTAGCCTTATAAAAGCCCGGGCCCGAGAACTTTCTGCAGGCCAGAAAGACCAGGGCCAGGCAGCCAACATGGTGAGAGTCCACAACTGGGACTGAGGGGCTTGCTAGGGTGGGGTGGATTTTCCTGTCCTGGTGCTGTTCAAGAAGCTCTACATCCCTGTGCCCATGCCTGTCCCCAGCTGTGTGTTGTGGTGAATGACATGGAACAACTGCGGCTGATCATTGGCAAGCTGCCCACTCAGCTGGCATGGGAGGCCTTGGAGCAGCGGGTCGGGGCCGTGCTAGAGCAGGGGCAGCTGCAGAATACACTACATGCTCAACTACAGGGCGCACTGGCTGGGCTGAGCCACGAGATCCGTACCGGTGTCCGTACCCTGGCTGAGCAGGTAGGTACTGTCTGATCCCCCAGGAAGCTTGTCTGTCCTGTTCTCCAGGAGGATGGGCTGATGTCTGTCCCCCAACCCTAAACCTAAACTTCAGGTTCCAAGCCAGCTCTCTAGATCCCCCATTCACTCCATCTTTATCTCCCGTTTTGTGTCCCTAGCTGGAGGTGGGCATTGCCACACACATCCAGAAACTCATGGGTGTCAAGGAGTCCGTTCTACCTGAGGATGTAAGTGACTGTCCTGCTTACTGACCTTCACTGCCCTGGCAGCTCTGTGTCTGGGGTTGTGAAGGAAACCTGGAGGGGTAGGCAAGGGTTAAAGGCACTGGGCATGTCAGAGATCAGTCTCCAGCCTCGGGTCAGGCATGATGTCTCCCTTGGCCTGTTTCCTCCTTGGGTGCTCAGGAAGGCAAGCAGGTGGTAGCTTGGGCTCTCCCAGCACTGATGGATGGTGTGGGTTGCCCCTGGGAGGTTCAGCTCAGCTTTGAAACCCAGCAGGCCTGGGAACACAGGTCTACATTGCAGCTGACCCCAGGCTCCTCAAGTGTAAGGGAGAGAGTGAGTGCCACATCCCTCTAATTGTCTGCAGGGAAGGGAATTCATTAACTTGTTAATAGCTGAGTAAGCACACATTTTTGTCCTAGACACTAATTTAAGCTTTGGGGCTAAGTCATTGAACAAGATAAAAACTCCTGCTTTTCCTAGTGCTTGTGCTCTTAGTAGGGGTTAGGGAAGAAGTGGAAGGAGAGCTAAGTACAGAGGTCTGTCTAACCATGACCTTAGTTGTAGCCGTAACTATAGATAGACATCGAGAAGTGTATACGTTCATGAACACACTTACATGGTAAGATAATAAGTGCTAAAAGGAAAAATAAAACAGACTGGGGTGGGTGGGAAGTGTCAAAGACGTGTATTTTTCAGTAGTGGCAGAGGAAGGCCTTATTCAGAGAATGTCAGCTGAGTCAAGACCCACAGGAAGCAAGTAAAAGAGCTATGGGGCTTTCTAGAACATTCTAGTCAGGGATCAGAAAAGGCAAAGGTCCTGAGCAGCACCAGGCCTAGCAGGCTCACAGGATACAGGGGAGGCCAGTGTGGTTGGAGCTGACAGAGGAACCAGGACATAGGAAGGTGGAGGGAGGCAGGGACCAACTCCCACGGATACGAGTCAGTACACAAAAGCTCCTGGTTTTGTGAGGAAGGGGATTGAGGTAAAGCAGTGGAAGTAGGATGGGGATCAAAACTGGGCATGAACCAGATGTGTTCCCCACCCCACCTAGGCCATTCTGCCCCTGATGAAGTTCTTGGAGGTGGAGCTTTGCTACATGAACACCAACCTGGTTCAGGAGAACTTCAGCAGGTCTGCAACAGCCCCTGCCCTGTGGTGCCCGCCCACCTCTCCAAGGCCTCAGCGCCCATGGGTGGAGGGCATGTTATGACTAACCCCTTTGGTGACCTCCCTTAGGGGATGCAACTCAGGGACAGGGAGCTCACCGCTTTCCACACCTGCCCATTTCATTCTGCCCTGAGCAGCGAGCGCTTGACCATGTGCTAACCTGAAATTGGCCCATCTGTTCTTTGGGCTTGGGTCATCTTCAGGGCCCCTGACTGCTTCTCTTCCTTCTTAACATTTGGGGCATCTGGTGTTATTGGCCCATGGTCCAGGGGACCTTCTGGTTGGGATGCTCAAAGTATGGGCTCTGGAGAGCCTAGGTTCCGACTCCAGCATTCTTTCTCAGTGGCTTCCAGCTCTTAAAGTTTCAGTGCTCATGATCAGTGTTCTGGCCTCTACTGAGGACTGAAGGGGTCACACAAGATGCCAGGACAGGGTCTGTGCATAGGAAATACAGTCATGCTGACCTGGACCCTCATCCACCTTGGCTCCCTGTGGCTCCTCCTTCCCGGAGTTCTTCTGAGCTTTAGTTCTTATGCCATTTGCTCTCTTTTCAGTGTTTTTTCTTTTTTTCCTCTTCTAAATGAGAATGAGCTCCTCACCAAGGTGGAGCTTTGCTAGGAAGCCTTTAGAGCAGTGACTGGTGCATAATGAACACTAAAGTCTGTTAATGAAGTCATTACTTATTTTTTTTTTAATTTCTTTTTCTTTTTTTTTTTGGTCTTTTTGAGACGGTCTCAGCGTAGCCCCAGCTGGCCTGGATTCACTATGGAGACCAGGCTGGCCTTGAACTCACAGAGACCCGCCTGCCTCTGCCTCCTGAGTGCTGGGGCCAGTGCTTTTAATTGCTGAACTATCTCTCCAGCAAATTTATTTATTTATTTATTTACTTATTTATTTACTTATTTTTTAGTCTTTCTGAGACAGGGTCTCCCTGTAGCCCCAGTTGGCCTGAACTCACTTTGTAGACCAGGCTGGCTTTGAACTCACAAGAGATCTGCCTGCCTCTACCTCCAGAGTGCTGGGATTAAAGGTGTGGACCCAAATTCATTACTTTTAACATAGTTCCCCTTCCTTTTTTTTTTTTTTTTGTGGTGGTGGTGGTGAGAATGCCTTACATATACTAGGCAAGCACTATACCCCTGAACTATACACATATCTTGGCTCAGGCCGCCCTCATTTTTTTTTCTTTTTTTTTTTTTGAGCTAGGGTTTTAAACTCACATGTAGACCAAACTGGCCTTAATCTCAAGAGATCCACCTGCCTCTGCCTTCCCAGTGCTGGGATTAAAGGCATGACCACCATGCCCAGCCTATCTCAATCTTTTTTTTTTTTAATTTTTTATGTGTATGAATGCTTTGCCTGCATGTATGCAAGCGTACCCATGTATTCAATGCCTATGGAGGCCAGAAGAGGGCGTTGAATCCCCTGGAACTGGAGTTATGGATGATTGTTAGCTGCCATGTGGGTGCTGGGAACTGAACCTAGGTCGTTTGGAAGAGCATCTAGTGCTCTTGACCGCTGAGCCATCCCTCCAGCCCTCCTGCGTTCTTAATTATGCAATACCTATTAAAATAAACTTACCTGCCAGACTCTAACACATGTTGTCTCTGGTGGCTATCAAGTCTGTGTCCTTGACACTATTTTATTTTCCCAGTAAGGAGGTAAAAACCTTACCCACACTGTGTGTTGCAATCTTACCCACTTGCCTATTCAGTGTGACCTGGTGGGGGGGGGGTGTCCAGTCTTCCTCTGAACTCTGGTTTTGTTTGGGTTCCATGGTCCTGCTGAGGCAGGTTCTCCATCAAGGTCAAGAACTTAATGTTAGGTAAAACTGATGATCCTTTTGGCTGCCTGCTCATCTGCCTTTCCACAGGAGACCACCTGCCAGCCCTGACCCCAGCCTCACTTGTGGAGCAGGAGGGGGAGGTAGGGTAAACCTGAGTCCCTGAGGCCTCCCCTTTCTCAAGAGCATCTTTGCTTCTCCTCCTCTGCCCATCACTCTTCTGCCCTCGGCCAGCCTTCTGACCCTGCTGTGGACCCACACACTCACGGTGCTGGTGGAGGTGGCCACTTCCCAGCGAAACTCGTCCCTGGCCTCTAGCAGGCTGAAGGTTGCCCTGCAGGTAATGGTACCAGCCATGAGGATAGTAACTCTGCAGTATGGACCTGGGGTCATCCCTATTCTCTCCTGCAGAACCTGGAGATCTGCTTCCATGCCAGGGGTTTTGGTCTGCCACCAGAGGCCCTGCACACGGCTACCTTCCAGGCAAGTGTCTTTTATCTTGCAAGTGTCAAGGATAAATCCAGGGCCTTGTCATGAGAGGTAAGTACTCTGTCACTGAGCTGAGCTATCTCCAGCCTGAAGTAGGAGTCTTCTGGTGAGCTCCCAGTAAAGAAGGTCAAGGCAAGGGAGCCTATCTTTCTGGGTTCTCCTGTATCTGGGATCATATATATCATTCAGGAGATCAAGTCAAAAATGAAAAGATGGGCCTCTTATTCAAAATTTTTACAAATTTTGAAATGCTGACAACAAAGAAATACTAAGTGTGGAGTCCTTCAGAGCACAGGGTCCCTGTGTGCCTACATTGGAGATGCTTCCAAAGCAGGCCACCTGGTGCCTCTTCCCTGGGTGGGTGTCTTTTGGGCACTGTCAAGGGTGTACCCCTTTCTGTGGTCCCATGGCTCCAGGGCTTCCTATCCCAAAACCAAGTCTTGCCTGCTCTGAGAGCCTGGCTACGGTTAGGTATGATGACATGCAAGTAGATGCTGGGCTGTACCATTCCAGGCTCTGCAGAGGGACTTGGAGCTGCAGGCAGCCTCCAGCCGGGAGCTCATCCAGAAGTATTTTTGTAGCCGAATCCAGCAGCAGGTGAGGCTCCCTTTTGCCCTGTACCCACTGTGGGCCACTGTGGACCTCACCCCTCTCTCTCCTAGCTGGTCCCTATGTGTGCTCCCATGTCAGGCTGAAACTACCTCCGAGCATCTGGGGGCAGTCACCGTCAAAGTCTCCTACCGTGCCTCTGAGCAGAAGCTGCGCGTGGAGCTGCTCAGCGCCTCCAGCCTGCTACCTCTGGACTCCAATGGTAAGTGGAGGCTACCCATTGGCCATTCCCCATGTCCTCCTCCCTGGCATCCCCACTAGCATCCTGGAGGCTCAGAGGAGCGGGCTGTGATACTAAGGAATAACAGTTGGAATGTGTGGGTGGGGTGGCTGGAACTCAGCTAGCATCCCCTCACCTGGGCCACTTGCCAGGTTCCAGTGACCCTTTTGTTCAGCTGACATTGGAGCCCAGGCATGAGTTTCCAGAGCTGGCCCCCCGTGAGACCCAGAAACACAAGAAAGACCTTCACCCACTGTTTGATGAGACCTTTGAATTGTGAGTCCCTCTTCTCCTCCCAGTCCCTCCCTTTACGTTCCTTCAATGAACACTCCCTCCCTCAGGAGCTCCTGTGATGACCCAGCCCTTGGGACAAGTTTGCATATCCTGAGATAAAGGGGTGGACTTCTACAGGCAAGGATGTTCTATCTGAGGTCCTTAGGGACCTGCTCTCTGTTGAAGATGAGGCTGGGGCCACAGGCCCCCTGATATAAAATCAGCCCATGGTCACAGGGGACATTATACCACATGGCAGAAATAAGCCAGCTGAGATTCAGCTGTCACATGCTTATCCTTAACAAGACAGTGATCTATATGCTGGAGGAGGGTAAGGGTGACAGCACATTTGGGCAGGGCAGGCAACTGAGCCCCTGACTTTCTGCCAGCCTGGTGCCTGCTGAACCATGCCAAAAGGATGGAGCATGCCTCCTGCTCACTGTGCTAGACCATGACACGCTGGGAACGGATGACCTGGAAGGGGAAGCCTTTCTGCCTCTGTGTGAGGTGCCTGGACTGACAGGCTATGAGGAGCCTGGGGAGGCACCTCAAACTCGCCTGCCTCTCACGTACCCTGCGCCGAATGGTAGGCCTAAGTCCTTGGTTAGGGGAAAGTGCAAGGGGTGGGAGAATGATCCCAGGGTGCTTTGGCAAGGGCTCAGAAATGCTTTCTTGGGAGATGGAAGCTAGTAGAACAAGAACATGACTCGGGCTGCTAAGGAGGCCAGCAAAGGTCTCTGATGGAGACCAGTGAAATTTAAGCTTAGGGAGGTGTTATGTGACTTGTCCTGGTGGGGAAGGTCACCAAGGAGTTTCCTTTGAAAGGAAGGCCTGATCCCTATGCAGGAGGCACATCTTATGACACATAGCCTGAGCTTAATAGTAATAGTTCATGTACTTTTCTATCTGTATCATAAGCCAGTCTAAAGTACCTAGGTCTGTTAACTTCTAATTCTCAGAACGGTTAGTGAGGCATGACTGTTCTCAGCAGTTTTACAGGTGAGTTAGCTAGCTAGCCTCAGGTTCTCACAGAAAAGGGTGGTAGTCACCACCTCAGGCACATTCATGGTTTCAGGCTTGCACAAGTTCCTTCAAGGTTAGCACAGGGATAGGACAGTGCTGTGTTCTCCAACCCAGGCACTGCCTCTCCCTGTTTGACTCTCAAACCCTTTTCTCCACAGGGGATCCAATCCTGCAGCTGTTGGAGAGCCGGAAGGGTGACCGTGAGGCCCAGGCCTTTGTGAAGCTGCGGAGGCAGCGAGCCAAGCAGGCTTCCCAGCATGCCCTACAGTCAGGGCGGTAGCAGTGGAGGCTGGAGTCCTGAAAGGCTGGGGTCTTCCTTGCCACAGGGAAGCCCTCCAGCCTGGTGGAACACTCAGGGAGCACGAGGAGGTGCACTGCCCAGAGTGTGGGACCTTCAGGAGTCTTGGCAGACCAGCCCTTGGTAATGGGGCACTGTGACTAGTATTTATCCTTTCTTTGCCCTCCGAGTTTTGTCTTGACCTCAGTGTTCCCTGCCATGTCCCTGCTCCCCCATCTGCCTTCTGGAACTGCTGGTTCTGTCTACTGACATGGGGCCCTGGGGTGGGACTAGGACTGCAGACACAGACTCCACAGGGAGAGAGGACCCTATCAAAGCTGCCCTGGGGAGGTAGGGGTGGCAATTACTAGAGGGAGTGGAGAAGGATGTTGGCTCTGAGGTGAGAGCTGGCAGGCAACAGGGCAGACAGATAGCAACAGAAAGGACAGTTTGTCTGTGCTGAGAACACTTCCTCCCTCAGATGGAACCTGCCACCTAGAAATGTTCTAAGTGAATAAAAAAAACATTATCCACTGTCCTCATCTATATTTGGCTTACAGTGGGCCCAGGAAGACTTGCTAGGATCTGTACACCACCTCCCCCCAGCAGACACTGACTGCCCCTGGGCCACAGAGCCAGAGAGGTAGTAGGGGAAACTGACACAAGAGCAAGGGGCCTGGGGCAGTCAGTATTACATGTGTTTGGCCATGACTTACAGTGTATGATTATGTGCCACAGTATTCATGTGACAGTTAGAGGACAATTTTAAAGGAGTTGGGTCTGTCCTTCCCCTATGGGTTCTGGGGCTCAAACTCAGGCTGTCAGACTTGTGCAGCAAGCACGTTTACCTGCTGAGACACCTGGCTGGCCCTTAGCCATAGCTTTGAACACGTTATCTGGCACCTCAGTTACCGTGGTCAGTGCCTAGAACAGGGACCTTGTATGGGGGGGGGACACCATGAGGCTGCATGGCTGCTCTGGACAGCAGGAGAGCAGCCCTATTTGTGTATAGGGTCTCTTCTATACTGCAGTCACAGCCTCGGGCCTGGCAGTCTTCAAGTGTAACCCCAGTAAAGTTAAATAACCTGAACCTGCACAAGCTGGCAGGTGAAAGGTGGCAGCTCTAGCTCTGAGGTCAGAAGGAGCCTCCACTTGCATGTTTTCTCATCCTCGGGACCCAGGAGCATGAGAAGCAGGGCAGAGGGGATGGAGGCAGGAGGAAGGCAGGGCACTTCAACAAATCCACCCCCCTTTCTTTCTGTTTCTATGCAAACTACCTAGAACAGGAATACCTGTCTGTTCCTTTGAGAAAACATCAATAAAAACCAGTCAGAGCTGGACAGAGAGCACTGAACAGAAAGGCACTGGGCCTAGGAGGTCTCTGTGTTCAAGGCTAATACTCTCCACAATGGTGATCCCAGTGATCCTTGACACTTGAGCTGCCTTTGAGTCTAGCTGGGCCCCAGGCCTCTTCAGCCGCCTCCTCACACTACAGGATGTGGACACTAGCGGTTTCCACGGCCAAGGCAGGGCTCCCCCTCATCTGGAAGCGTGGATGTCCTCTGTGGACCCACTCCCCCATGCAAACAAGCTACCACTGCAAGTTCATATTTTATTTCCAATAAGTTTGATTTTTGCATTTTCGTAAAAAAAGAAGAAAGTTTTCACTTAATTCATTGAAAGCCCTTTCGTGCTAAGCCCAAGGGAGGGGCCTGGGCCAGAGCAGACTCTTTTGCAGCCCTCTTGAGCCCACTGGACACCCAGTGCTGGAAGCAAGGTCGCCTCCCTCTGCCCACTCTGCCCTCCCACCCCACTGCATCTCTCTGTACAGAACAGTTTTTTAAAATTGAAGCTAAAACACAATATACATTGGACAGGCACACACACACATGCACACAGGCGTCTGCCCAGAACGGCAGTACGTCAGCTGCACTCAAAGAGCACCAAGGAATGCATACGAGCTCCTCCCAGCAAGAAGGGGCAGGACCTGTGCCCCCTTGGTCCTCAGGCTGCACTGCTCCCCAACTGCCCTGCTAGCTGCCAGAGGGAGGGCAACGGCTCTGCAGCCACATGCCGGGGGGGGGGGCAGGGACAGCTGAGGGCAGTGCCAACCTGGTTAGGTGACTGAGGGGCCAGGGAGGCTGGTCTGGGGAGTCCAGAAGGAAATGACCAAGGGAAACCCCAGGCTTCAAGAACCCGAGGGTCAGAACTGGGCCTTGACCCCTAAAGAGCTTCAAGGGCCCAGGTATGGGAGTGGGGCTGGCCCTGAAGCTTTGGCCTGCCAGCTCCTGTGGCTGTCTCCAAAGTTACATACACATTTGGTAAGCCCAGAAGCTCAGCTGGCTTAGAACTCCAGCAGACCTTTAGGCCTCCCTGAAGCCCTCATAGCTGGGAACTAGGGGACCTGAGCCCACACTTGATGCAGGCCCTGGTCCACAGTGGCTGGGTGAGCAGGGACTGCCCTTCCAGTTTCCCCTTCCCCTCCTTCGAGCATCTCACCCCTTCCCTGCTCAGGCCCAAGGAAGTAGTTAAAAATAGTTAGTTCCTACATAAAAAGACATAAACATATTCTCTGCCAAAAGGCCAGTGGGAAAAGGAATTTTGTCTCTGAGCAGGAAGAGTAGGGAATGGGTAGTGGAGGACTGCAAAATAGTCTTTTCTTTTAAAAAGTGCTTGGTAAGTCCATTTTAAAGTGTGTGTCTATATCTATGTACAGATATACACACTGACACTGTGCACACGTACCACGCACACCTGCACACACACCAAAATGTATACATGTACATAATCATATACATATACATACATACATATTATATACTGTAAAAAGTCCTAGGTGAGAAGATCTGGACCCAGCTGGGCCAGGCCTGTAGGGTCACGACTGGAGGGCATGGGCCCGACCAGGCTGGCAGACAGGGCACTCACCGCCCTCAGCACAGAGCTCGCACAGCACAGCATGTTGGCACGGCAGCACCGCCCGGGTCTGCTCCTGACATTTAAGGCATTTCACCGATTGCATGTGGAACACAGCCTGTAGGAAGAGTGACACTGTGGTTATTGGATGGTCTCTACTGGCAGCCTGGCCTCACGGTGAGCAAGCAGCAACTCTGACTCTCACTTTGGTGTCTTTTTGAGGAGGAACCTGAGGCCCAAAGCACATAGAATCCCACTACAAGTGAGAGCAGCTCAGCTCCAGGCTCCACTGGTCTTCCCAGTGATAATGTGGGGGGCCAGCTGGGTGGCAGCTCCCACCCCGGGGACTTCTGTTGGCAAAGATGAATGCCTCTTCTCATATTTGATCTTCTAGGCACTCAAGAAAGACAAATGAGGCTTGAGGGACAGGACTTGGGGACTGGCTACTGAAGCCTCATAAAGAAAATAACCACTTCTGCCAGGCGTGGTGGTGCACACCTTTAATCCCAGCACTTGGGAGGCAGAGGCAGGCTGATCTCTCTGAGTTTGAGGCTGGCCTGGTCTACATAGTGAGTTCTAAGACAGCTGGGGCTACAGGAAGACCCTGTCTCAAAAAGACATTAAAAAAAAAAAAAAGAAAAAAAGCTGTTTTTACTGGTCTAAGCCACCCCTGGGACCAGCAAGCACCTGGCAGTGCAGACTATGCAGACTGGCAGCCCTGAGGCCAGTCAACGCTGGAATGTGCTGGAGTAGAGAGCTAGATACCAGGGTGGGCCTGGACACAGGGCTGACTGTAGGTGAAAAGCACGGTGTGGGCATTGCCACTCCTGCTTTCTTGCTCTACGTGATGGCATTCTCTCCTCACCCCCTTCCAGCGGACTGGCATTTTCAGCCTAACGCCAGTCTTTCAGGAGGCTGACACCACTGGCCCCCCACCCATGCTCCCTGGTCTTTGGGCTGACCTTGTCCACTTGCTCCAGGTGGGCCCGTAGCTGCTTCTGGAGGGAGTAGAGGGTGGAGAGTGAAAGTGCCTCCAAGTCCGGGACAGTGGGCAGGGCCTGGGGGTCTGGCCCTGCGTGCAGCCGCTCCAGTTCCTCCTGGAGCTTCTTCACCTGCACTTCCAGTGCATCCCTCTGTTCCCGGGCCAGCTCACACTCCGCTCCTGCTGCACTGGCCCGCTCACCAGCCTCCTCTGCTTCCTTCTTCCAGGCATCACAAGCCTGTGGGCCCAATACACAATACCTCATCATGATGGCCCCTGCCTCTGCCCTCCCTACCCCCACCCAGAGAGCATCTCCAGGTGCCGGTATGGGCCTCTCTGGCTGTGAGGCCTGCTAGGAAGCTGGGCCTGCTGTCTGGGAAGGGGACAGGGAGGCTGCTGCTGCCTGCAGAGAAGACAGGTTTCAGGACCTCAGGAAACCCTCCCTCTGCAGGCAGGGATGGGGGCTGGGCCTAGCATGGCAGGGGTTAACAATGTAGGGCTCACATCCTGGCCTGTACCCCTACGGGCAGCTGGGCAGTGGCTGGACAGATGGCCTAGCTCAGAATCTCAAAGCAAAGACAAGAACTCCTGGGGCCAGACTGTACCCAGGCTGTGGTGCCAGCCACCACAGCATTCTGACTAGCAAGACCAGACCTCCCATGGGGGGAGGGCAAATAAATTTCTGCTGTTTTTCAGGCCCCTGCTTCCCCCACCCACATGCCTGCCCTGTGCAGGATAGACTTGGGCTGGATGCCACCAGGCACTGGGGACAGCAGGCGGGCGTGGGGCCCAGTACCTGCTTAGCCTGCTTCCAGGACTCCTCCCACTGCTTGATGGTGCTGTTGGCTTCATCTAGCTCTTGCCGAAGCCGGGCCAGCTCAGCAGCCCCTGGCCCTGATAGGAAGGCAGGGGAAGTGCCTGGGGAGAAGCTTCCAGAGGCAAAATGCTCCCAGATGCTGCTGTTCATCCCGTTCAGACCTGCCCCAGGGAGGGGAGGAACATCAGCTGTGGAGGGCTTAGGCCCAGGCCCTGGTCAGCCCTGCCTGGGCTTCCAGGGGCTGACTGAACATTGGGTGAGTGTGAGAGAAGAGAGCAGGGTGTGAAGGTGCCCTTGGCTGGGACAGATCTAAACTTTAAGTATCATCTGCAACTATGTTGAGTCTTAGTAGTATCCTCATCTATAAAGTGGAGTTCCCATTGTAGCTTGAGGGGGCTCAGGAAGGACTGTGTGGGACAGCAATCTGTGAAGGTGTCTTGTTAGGCTACAGCATGGGTCCTCTTGCATTCCAGTGAGAGGTAAAGGAAGGTTCTGACAAGATGAAGAGACAGGACAAAAGCCACCAGCCAGTCAGTGCCTCCTAAAATGGGAGGAATGGAGCAAAAGGGACCAGGGAACCTTGATTGATAAGCAGGACACTGAGACAGAAAATATGCAACCAAGAACTCACACGAATGTGTGGCAGTAATGGAACAGTGGAACAGGAGAGTCAGAGCACGTGGCCTACCTTCCCAGTAATTTAGGCTGCCCACCTCCCACCAGCTCACTTAACTGTCTCTACTAGTCCCATGTACTGCTGCTCGCTGGCTCCCAGGGAAGACCATCTTCATGAAGCTTCCGGCTTCCTTCTACTCACACGTATTCTGGTGACTTCTTCCTCGATCCCTTTCCCACTAATTGAACTAGATTTTAAACATTCTTTCCTCCGAGCAACACAGGCATACTGATACAAGAGAGGTGCTGTCCTGCGGTGCATCCACTGTGTGTACTGTCTGAGCCTATCCGCCAGGAGGAACCTCCAGACCATTCACACAAAACTGGTCTGGCAGCAGGGTCTGCTCACCTGTACCTCTGCCCTCCTCATGCAGGTGGTATTTATCTCTGGGAGTAGAACTGGTTCTTCAGAGAGCACCCTGTGCAAATTAGGTCCCTGTTTCACTCTGAATGGGATCCCAGTATCTGTGCACCTTTGCCTCCAGCAATGGTGGCTGGGGCTGCTAGATAACACTTCGATCTACCTGTGAGGTTACCCAGCAAGGGGATATGTGGGGCCAGTAGGTAGGGCTCAGTTGAGATGCTTCCAGAATGTGGGAGTCAAGATGTAGCATTAGTATTTAAGTGAACACAACCCCATCATAAAAGCCTGTTCCCAAGCCGGGCATGGTGGCGCACGCCTGTAGTCCCAGCACTTGGGAGGCAGAGGCAGGCGGATCTCTGTGAGTTCAAGGCCAGCCTGGTCTACATAGTGAGTTCCAGGACAGCTGGGGCTACAGGGAGACCCTGCTTCAAAAAGACAAATTAAAAAAAAAAAAAAAAAAAAAAAAAAAAAAAAAGATCCTGTTCTCAACTGGAAAGGTGCTGCAAAACCCCAGGATGCAGCAAGGGAAGTCTCTGACAGTGCCAGAATTTCAAAGGCTCTCGGTCCCTTCCTCTAACTGGAGGTCCAGCACCTTAGGGGCTCTCTGAATAACTGCTAGGAAGTGGGATGGAGCACTGTTCATGAGAGGCACTGTGCAAGGGGCTGTGCAGAGTACTGTAGATCCATTACCTCAGGGAGTATTCTCTCACTGCCCCCATTCCAGGAGCCTTGCCCCTGTGTGTGGTGGCTGGGCCTCCATGCTGTGCTTTTCACCACTGAACTATGAGAACACTTGGGCCCCAGCTCCCTCTGTTCTAATGATACACTGAGCAAACAGCTGTCTGGGAAAGATCTGGGTCCCTGATGCCTCTCCCTGCCAGGAAGGAAACTCTTGAGATGGGATGGGTCTGACCTTGGCTGGTGTAACGCTGGGGAGCAAACCCAGGGTCCGCAGGCATATGCTAACCCAGTGCTCTACTATTTTAAGCCACACTTAGTATGACTAGGCAAAACTGCACTGAAGACCAAGATTTGTCCCTGGAGACTGAGACTACTGCTTCCCTATGGGCTGGCCTGTCCTTGCACTGGCCTCTGCATTTTACTTAATCTTTACAACCACTGCATCCATTCCACAGTACAGGAAGCTAAGATGGAGGCTTAGCTGTGTCCACTTGTCGAGGCATTCAGGAATGGGTCCTTCCTCTAACTGGAGGTAAAGCCTTGGATCCTGAAGCCCTGGCCAGGGTGATGAGCCCTGGACACAGCAGCCAAGGGAGCTTGCCAAAAGGCTCTGGGTTCTTGTCCTAGTTCCTCTCTTACCCAAAGATCCATGTGATGCTGAGGTCCCCAAAAATGTATTTTCTGACTGGCTCAGGTGGCCCTGGGGTTGTTGCAGAAAATGTGAAGAGAGGCTGACAGGAGGGGATGGAGAGGCAGAGTGGAAGGAGGCTGAGCTGCCTAAGGAGCCAGGGATATTCACAGGCGCAGAGCTCTGCAACAAACTGCCACCTGTAAGAGAGACCCAGAGGGTGGGCTGGGTAAGGGCCAGGTAAGCCAAGTGGGTGCAGGCGAAACCCCAAGGCACCCTTCAGGCCACACTGCCCACCCACTGCCCAGTACCGATTGTGATGCTGCTGGGGTGGGGCACTGTGCTGTTATCAAAAGTCTTCTCCAGGGCCGCTACCCCAAACTCGTTCAGGTCCAGGTCATCCAAGGCAGACTCTAGGGACAGAGATTGGAGTATGGGCCTCCCAAGGTCCATGCCCTAGACTCCAGGCTCTTCCTGACCTTGACTGCCTCACTTCTTGTCCTCGCTATACCTCTGCTCAGCTCTTCCTCTGTGCACACCAACCCTGATGTCACCTGCCAAGTTCAGCCTAAGCATGTTTCTAAAGGCTTCTTTGATATCCCTAGGAGGAATCCAGACCCGATCCAGGCCAGCTGTGGTATTGCATGCCAGTAATCCCAACTCATAGGACACTGAAGCTGGAGGACCAAGAGTTCAAGACTAGCCTGGGCTATAGCAAGTCCCAATCTCAGAAAGAATGAATTCAAGGTTCCAGCTTCCTCTGATAGAAAGTATGGTCTCCTTATTTCCAGGCCATGTGTCTTACCCTGAGATCACTGAGGCTGTCAGAGTCCTAAGCCCTTTGTAAGCAGTATACAGTAGGTACCTGACCAATGCTAGTGTCCCTCTGCTGAAATGTCCTGGGAGAGAGAAGGGGAACAGTTTCTCTTTTAGATGGTAAAAGCAGGTGCTAGAGAGATGGTTCAGTGGTTAAGAATAGTTGCTGCTCTTCCAGAGGACCCAGGTTCAGTTTCCAGCACCTACATGGCAGCTAACAACTATTCTTAACTCCAGCAGCAGGGATCTGACACCTTCTTCTGACTTCTGTGGGCACTGCATGGACATGGTGCACTTACATACATGTAGGCAAAACATTCATACACATAAAAAAACAAAAAAGATGGCAGGGGCAACCTGCCATCATTTGTCTCCCCTGTGCCTGGCATGGGATCTGGCACAAAGTGGGCACACATAAGTAATAAGGAAAGGGGCACTGACATTTCCTTCTTGGTCCTGGGGTCTGAACCTAGAGCATCATACATGCTAAGCACACAAACCATCACCGAGCCGCACCCAGTCTGTGGGCACTAGCTTCTATCTACTAGCATTCTGAGGACAGTTGTGCAGGCTGTTAGCTTCACAAGGGGCTAACTGGGGGGTGAACTAGGACGGCATGACACATCTTTTATAAAAGAGCTCCAAGGTCTCGTCTTTGCCCTACATGTTGGAACTCATTTTCTCTTTGGTTCAGAAGGTCCAAGTGTCTACCCTGATTTCCCCAAGCCAGTGTCTAAAGTATCTGCTGTGCTCATCTGAGTCTAGCTTCAGAACACCTTGTGTCTCAGACTCCAGGTCCAGTCCTTGCAAATTAACCCTGCCTAGTTACCTATGACCGACTCTACCGTGTCGCTGGTGGGGTAGAAGGGCAGAGCATTTGCATTCATGCCAGGAGTGCTGCTAGTGCCTGCAGGGCTCGGGGGAGTGGCTGCCAGGCTGGAGGTGATGCTGGAAGAGATGCTTGAGGTCAAGGGGCTGCCCACAGGGAGGATGCCCAGCACGTCCTGCAACGAGAGTGAGGAGAGGCAATGGGATACCTGTCTGCAGAAGCCATGGCACAGGCTAGGACAGGCCAGGTGAGACTAAAACTATCAGCACCTATGGGCCTTAGGCTAGCTGTCCCAGTGAAACATGGAAGCCACTGGCCACTCCTGCAGGCTCCCAGCAGAGGGAGGGTAAGCATAGGGCCTGGCATTGAGAGGGTCCCTAAACACTCCTGATGAATGGGTGTGTCTAGGAGAGGAGGGACTCGAGTCTGACCCCCACCATCTCTGGACTTTGGGTCAGAGCCCACCTTAGTCTCGCCTTAGTTTGCAGGGAAACTGTTACCCTACTCCCTGAAGCCATCTGGGGCTCTGGGTCTGTCCTCTCCACAATGGTGCCAGGTAGGAGGAAGAGGGCTGAAGCTCGGTACCTGTTTGGGTTGAAGCAGAGGCTGCTCTTGACTCCTGGGCTCTAGTGAATGGGACTTTAGTTTAGCCTGAGAAATAAAAACCAGTGAAAGTGGTGTGGGGAGCTCCAAGTTCAGCATCCACCTGGCCTTGCTATGTACCACTGAGGCTGCAGATACAGGGGGCAAGGAGCGCCACCTGCCAAGTGCCATACTGTCCCCCTTTTCTGGCCCTGCCCCCTTTCTCTCTCCACGTATATACCCTCTTCACACCTCATTTCCTGCCCTCCTCCTATCCTAGAAGCAATGAGCTATTTCTTTCCTCCCAGGTGACTCTAACCTTTGGATGAGCCTAGGTTTATCCCTGGCTATTTACTGACTCCAGGCCTTGTCCCCTCATTAGAGCATCATAGTTTGGAATGGAAAGGGGGACATCTTGCTCCTACTGACTGGCTCGATGGCCTTGGGGAAGCTACACAGTCTTTTGCATAGTGAACACAAATTTATTAAGGAAAAGTGAGAAACAGCTCCCAAGAGTGTGAGGGGCTCCAAAGGAGAAATACCCTATTCAGCCTCTTGAGTCTTATCCTCATCTGGGAAATGGAGTGACATGACCTACTCTGCTCAATCCTGAAGAGGCTGAAGACATGGGCTCAATCCTAGCTCCTAGTATCCTCTCCACAGGTGGCTCAGGCCTCTCTTCTAAGCTGTTCCCACCCCCGGAAGAAGGTTAAGCTCACTGGACTCAGTATCCTCTGCTGCTCCTTGAATCCTTTACCTGGCACTTGAAATTTTTCAGGTACTCCGCTCCAACCTGGTCTTCCCTTTCGAAGCCAGGAGCTTTTTTGTAGCTGCCAGGGGCGAGGCTCGACTCCCCTGGGAAGACCAGGCCCTCCAGGTTTGAGGTCTTCCTGCCAGGGCCTGGTGGGGAGCTGCAGAGGTGAGATGGGCTGCCCAGGCCACTGTTCCTACAGAGGATCTGCAGAGGACAGATGGGTGGTGGGCAATGGGTACAATGTGGACAGGGGAATGGCCACCCTCCAACCCTGCCTCACAATCAGCAAGGGGCTGTGGTCAATGGCCAGCAATAAGCACTTAGGGGCTTCTGAGCCTTAGGGGAGATTTGATGGACGGGAGTGATAAGATGATTCATCCCAGCCCTGCTCAGGCTGAACAGCACAGGCTCTCAAGATGTACCCTCACCATCACTTGACAGAGGAAAAACCCTTGGGATAGAAAAGGCAGAACTCCTTGGCCCCAGGACAAATACCAGGGCCTCCTTCCCAAGCACAGGCTGAGAGAGCCTCAGGCTCCTAGGGCACAAGAGAAACAGGAGCTGGCTCCTGGGCAGGCAGGGTGCCACCCATTCCCTAGGACAAGCACGTACAGCACTGAGGTCAGGGGCATGCGGGCTGGAGGGGCTCACAGGCACCGAGTCTCCGGCAGCAGATGGCATGTACAAGACAGGACCCGCTTGGGTGGGGCTGGATACAGCTGAGGAAGGCTGCATGTCATCACTTAAGGGGGGTGCTGCAAGAGGAAACAGGGGTCAGCAGGCTTCCAAGCCACCTCTGTCCCTGTAAAAAATGCTCCTGAACATCTTTGGGTGGGGGGGGTCTTTTTGAGACAGGGTCTCCCTGTAGCCCCAGCTGGCCTGTAACTTGATATGTAGACCAGACCAGATCTCTGGCCTTGAACTCAGAGATCCACCTGCCTCTGCCTCCCAAGTGCTGGGATTAAAGATGTATGCCACCACACCCAGCTCTTGCACATCTTCTAAAAGGAGATCATTCAGCCCCCTGCCCCTACAGGAATTGTTATTTTCACTGGCATTGTGCCCTCTACACTTACTATAGGCCAGCATTTTGTGCTAATTGCCAACTATAAGTAATATCATGGTCTTCATTTTATAAAAAAGGAAACTGAGGTTCAGAAAATTCAGCTAAGTATTCCAAGATAATAGCTGGAGTCAGAGGAGCTGGATTTCTACCCCATTATGTATTAATTCCACTGCCGAAAGTATTAGTCACGTCTCTGTGTTGTGACAATTGGATGGTCCATAATGAATCATAATGCATAATGCAGCTACTGCTGCACCTCCATCTGCTTTTCCCTCCCAGAGCTCTCTGTTTACTCTTCTAAGAGACAGAACTGAGCCTAGAAAGAGAACCAGGTAAATGACCTGCAGCTAAACAAGTGCCAATCCCTGCACCCACTCTACAACTGGAGAGATGGCCTGGAACATGACAGAGAGCATATCAACTTGCATTGTTTTATGGCAGCAACAAGCTACCTGCGGCTACTGAGCACTTGAAATGCACTGATTTGAACTGAAATAAGCTATGTTAAAATAACTTTCAGCTCTCTAGGGGCGGAGAGATGGCTCAGTGGTTAAGAAAACTGACTGCTCTTGCAGAGGACCCAGGTTCGATTCCCAGCACCCACTTCAAGGCTAACAACTGTCCATAACTCCAGTACCAGGAGATCCAACACCCTCTTCTGACCTCTGCAGGCATTGCATGACACGGGTGCACTTATACATATGCAGGCAATATACCCATACATAAAAAATAGACTTTCAGCTCTTGATATTTTTTATATTGACTGCTTATTGAAATGGCATTTTATATCATGCTAAATATAAATGTTGAAGCTAATTTAACCTGTTTCTTTTTTGTTTTGGTTTGTTTTTAGCATGTTAATCTACCCAACACTTTGGATAGCTCTGCTCTAGAGGAATGACCAGCTCAGCGCAGAATGGCTCCATGCACCGTTACTGATGTCTGACAGAAGACTGGCAGAAGCTGTCAAATTCCTTTTTTGGCATAGTGCCTCTTCTTGTCTGGGGACTCTGATCTTGAAAAGCTGCCCCAGGGCTTCAGGGCCAGTTTCAGAGAAGGAAGGGGAACAGAACTTCTAGTCCTGACAAGGCCCACTGCTGCTAGACAAGGGCTCCTGTGCATGAAGTGTTTCCAGAGACTGCGCCTTTGCCTACCTCAGCAGCGCTTAGGGAAGGGAGAGGAGGAAAGGCACCGCCTTGGGGGCAGGGGAACAGCTTACGTTCTATGTGTGCAAAGGCGCAGAAAGGTCCTCGGGGGCAGCTGCCTGACTGCTGCATATCATTGCACTTGGTGGATTTGTAGATCTGGAAGGGCAGGACAGAGCAGAGCAGACACAGGTCAGATTCAGCAACAGCAGCAGGCAGACTCTTTCTTCAGTGAAGCAAAGCAAGTTTTGAGATTCCCCGGGCCCCCGACTTCTGCCCATCCCTAAGTCTCTACTTACTAACTTCTTTTTCAAATTTATTTTTAAAATTTATTCGTTTTTGGGCTGGAGAGATGGCTTAGTGGTTAAGAACACTGGCAGCTCTTGCAGAAGACCCGGGTTCGAATCCCAGCACCCACATGGCAGCTAACAACTGTCCATAACTCCAGTTTCAGGGGATCTCTTCTGTCCTCTGTGGGCATTGCACGACACAGGTGCACTTACCTACATGCAGGCAATACACGCATACACATAAAATAAAAATAAACTATATACTTTTAATTTATTCATTTTATTTTATGTGTATGAATATTTTGCTTGCATGTATGTAGTGCACCACATGCCAGCAATGCCCGCAGAAGCCAGAAGAGGGCATCAGATGCCCAGGAACTGAAATTACAGTTAGCCAGGCCTCTGTGAGAGCAGCTAGTAGTTTTAACCTTTTAACCACTGAGCCATCTCTCCAGCCCTGTTCTATTCTTTCTTGAGACAGGGTTTGCTATGTATCAATAGCTAGTCTAGTATTCACTATGTAGAGCAGGCTAGCCTTGAACTTGCTATGATCCTTCTGTCCCAAGTATTGGAATGACTGGCATGTACCACCATACCTAGCCCAACTTCTTTTTTGAGACAGGGTCTTAATATGTAGTAGTTTCTGCTGGCCTTAAATTTAATCCTCCCGCTTTACCCTCTCAAGTGCCAGGATTATAGGCATGTACCATTGCATCTACTTTTACCCTATCAACCTCTTACTCAAACGCCTGATGCACCTCTCCACCACCAATGCCTTTCTGGAGTAACGGGGCCCACTAGTTATTACAAAGGGATTGCCACCACTCAGGTCTTGACTGGGGCTGTAACTCTGAGCGTGCCTCCTGGGCATTCTTAAGTGAGCCATGATCTCAGGCAGCACACAGCCATCTCCAAAATGCCCTTGCCAGGGAACCCAGGGCTTGTGATCACTACTGGGTCTAACTTTCCCCTCTGATGTCTACTGCCATATGACATCTGTTTCTCTCTCAGTGTGTCCTGGCTTCCTCAGAACCAGGGGCAGGCACAGCATGTACCTCTTCATATACTGCATAGGAGGTAGGTACACTGATATTGTGTAGGTGGGCTGAGAACTACATCAAAGAGGCTGCTCTCCCCTGGGCTCTAATCTGCAGCAGTCAGCAGATTATAGTAAGTACCACAAATGGTGTTAAGCCCAGAATGGCTAGGCCATCAGGCTCAGCCCATGCTTCCCTGTGGGGTGGACTGGGAAACTAACTAGAAACAGAGAGCTGTGAGGGACAGGTAGGCCGAGAACAAGAGAAGCTTCACCCTGAGGTACTCATGGATCCCTCTTCCAGGATGGTGCCAATATTTGCCCTCATCCTCCTTGTCCGTCTTCTAGCTTCCCAAAGGGGAGATACTAAGTCAACCATGGCCCCTCAAAGGATCCCAGTCCCTACTGTCAGGGCCTACCTCTGGATGGAACTGCTGCTCTGTGCGGGTGTGGCAATACTGGCAGGAGTCTCCATTCTCACACTTGCCGGGGTCTCCCCACTCGTCCCCATGTTTGACGTTTGGACATGGAGATGACCTGGTCCAATGAGAAAGGGTCAGACAGAGGCAAGAAAAGGTGAGACTAGGACCCACAGAGTGCTACCTGGATTCCTGTGCAAGGCCCCTTTCTGGTCTCCCTGGCTCACAGGTTCAGGTGCAGAAATGGAAAAGATCAGCTATACAGTAAGGGTCTCGCTAGGGCAAGAAGTTGGGCTGTTCCTCTGGCCCAGCTGGCTGCATTATTACCAAGGACACAGCTTTCTCCCTTCAGTCAGGAACTGAGCCTATGACAGCCCAGGAGTCAGGCCACAGCCACACCACACTTCCCACATTGGGACCTGACTCCACTCCAGCACCGTGCAGAATCAGAAATGGATGGGCCTCATGTTAGAACTGGATCCCATCATCCAATCATCCTTCACAGTCCCTCCCCTTTAAAAACAGGGCCCTATAAACCTCAAGGCTTGCCTCCCCATCTCCCTGAGAGTCCTGGTGGTGGCAATCGCAGCCACAATCCTTTCCCTGCCACTCCTCCCTCCCATGGCTGGCCTCCTAGGGCCAAAGGACCTGTATTTGTGCTTCCGGGGGCTCCGCCGCCGGTCCTTGCTGTTGTGGTAGTAGGGACAGGCATAGCCCTGGCGGCACAGCCGCGGTGGCTTCTTGCACGGCTCCGTCTTATAGTTCCCCAGCACATAAGCGGTCTCTACACAGGGGGCCAGAGGGAGGGGTCAGGGAGTGGAGCTGGAGCACCCCAAAAAGAACAGGAGTAGAATTCAGGGAAGGCAAGAAAGTGCTACTGGGAAGGGGTCTCAAAGCTGAGGTTCCCATGCAAGGCATGAGCAGGGCCACCTTTTGTACAGGCCATGGGCACACATCAGGATGGGAAACACATGGGTGAGGGTAAATGCATGAAAACCTAGAGGGATCTTGGGAATGCAACCTATCCAGAAAACTTCCCTGTAAGTGTCTTTTGAATGATGGGTTTTAAATGAGATAAGGAGGTGAGATGTCTCCTAACAGAGGTGGTGGGTTCAGTTGGAAAAGGGAGTAGGTAATTGTGAACCAAGTCTTGGGCAGTTCTGGGAAGGAAGAGTGCAGGGCGGCCTGTGGTTGCCTGTACCTTGCCACCGAGGTTCTTCACTCAGAATTTTTTCTATCATGGCATGGCTTGCGGCACCAGCCGACTGGCTTTCTATGCTGCCCTCTACTGTGGTCTGGCCATTCTGCAAGGCTTCCATGGCCTGTAGCTCCCTAGGAGAAGAGGAAAGGACAGAGAGGGTGGGAGGAAGCATGGGAAAACATGAAACAGAGTGCCATCCTCTTTTCTTTTTGAGGTCAGCCAACACTACCTGTCAGGACCTCTGCCCTCAGAACCCAGCACCAGTTTACCTGATGTCATAGACAGGGGAGCGGAGGTCATGGGGCCCGTGGGCAAAAGCGCAGTGCAGGCCGTTTTTGGTGCAGTTGCCTTTTGAGTCAGTCTCGTGGATACAGATTCCAGTTTTGTAGTAACGAAGGTGGTACCTGCGCTCAGTGTCCCCTGTGGTCCTATGCAGGAATGGGCACCTGGAACAGCAGTAAAAGTCAGTCAACTTTGCCTCCTGAGGCTTGGGTTACTCTCCCTAACCTTTGAAAGGCTGCCACCATGACCCAGAGGGTACAGTGATGGTGGACTGAGGAAGGTAATGATGAAAATTCTGCTACCAATGCACTGAGGCCTGAAGGGCCTGGTACCCCCAGGCTGCCTACAGATGCCTCAGAGGACATACTTCTGGGGGATCCTTAGAGAAGCAATCAACCCACTGAAACTTGTGCACATGCCCCATGTGCTTTAAAAGGTTTGAAGAGAGGGGCTTGATCTCTGTGAGGAAGGTAGGCCAGTGCAGGAAGAGTTCAGCATGTTGCACAGAAACCCACTAGCACATTCCATCTGGCTCCTACAAGGTTGAAAACAAATGGCGAGCTGGGCCAACGAATGTTCCTGCTCAGCAATGTTCCCAAGTCCTCTACAGAGAATTGTGGAGACAGTTAATATTAACCACCAAAAACCTAGTGTGGCTCTGTCTCTCTAAGCTGCCACTACGGTGGAAATCCTCACAGGACAGTGCAGTGGATGGTGGCAGGAGCAGAGGGGAAAGACCCAGAGCATATCACTTGTTCAAATGTGGTCCTTTAGGCTTCATGGAAAAAAAGGCCTATTTTATTTCTGATATTCTTGTAATAGGCAAAGGAAAACAAAAGCCACTCCAACTTTTTGCTGTACCACTAAGCCAGGGTAAGGGTGAGTTCAAGTCTGACCCATTGGCAGGTGGGCCAGGCTGTGAGCCAGTCCTCCCCAAAGCAGCCTCAGGTTGGCTTCCCATGATTTGCCCAGTCTATTCTCAGGGCATCTGACCTAGGAGACCTGGGGTTCTTCTGAGGGCAGGCTGAGCACTCACTCGTCGCCCTCGGGGCAGAGGCCTGTAGCCTCGTCATACTTGGTGCAGTAGACGTCTGGACTGTAGTTGAAGGTACCGTCCCGACGGCGGATGGACCTGCGGCGCCGCTGGTTCACAAAGTGCCAATGGAAGCAGGTGTAGGGCCGATGCTGCGTACATTTGTGTTGCACAAAGAGTGGGCATTGCTCTGTGCGAAACTCCTTCAGGTACCTGTGGAGAGAGAAGTCTGAGTGGAGTGGGCCAGGAGCAGAGAGAGAAGATCTTTGCTTCCCAGCAAAAAGTTAGCCACCAAGTCCCAAGAACCTTGTTCTGGGGTGTCACCTCCACTGGGACACCAGGAGAGGTCCAGGGCTTAGGCTGAGCCTCAGCTTCTGGATGCACTCCAACACCCAGGTCCCAAGCGAGTGAGAAAGCCACGAACCACAGGCTGCAAGAGCCTCAGCAGTCGGCTGTCTGTGGGGAAGGCAGCTGTGGTCTTCAGCAGCAGCTTGACTAAGCCATTTGAGGTTTCCCAAGTCAAGCCACTAATCACAGGGCAAGGGCTATGCACAAGAGCAGGAGTTGCCTCTCCCACACTGTTTGCAGGACTCTGCTGCCCACATGCACCTGCCAATTCCCAGAGGCATCCCTTCCAACACGAACCAGCATGGTGCTGTGGTTTGAGGGAAGAAATGCAGATAAGATGCTGCTTTGAGGCTGAAGTCCTGGTTGCTAAGTGTCCCTGTGGACTACCAACCCTGACTACTACCTCAGGGCTGCCTTTAGCACTACCTAGGTGGGTATTTGGAAAGGAGCTCATACAGTGATTCTGAAGGGAGACCCCCCCCTTTAGTTTGGCCTGCCCCCAGTCTCATACAGGAAGACCTGCAACAGTTGGGGCTATCTACATCTTAAGGATTTGAGAGCTGTCTGGTGTCTCTCTCCTCTACCCTCATGTAACAGCCAAGATACTCCAAATATCTCCCATTCTCTACCCAGTGGAGGGATCCAGATCCATTTACCTGCTACAGAACACATATACTGCCTATTTATATTTTCTTTACTACCCTGTCCAGTCTGGAGTTCTCCTATACTGACATAGGGACTATGTCATAGGATGGGCAGACAGTCCATTTTAAAAATGTGTGTGTTAAAAAAAATTTTTCATTACATATATATATATATATATATAATATCTATTATATATATAATATATATATATGTAGTATATAAGCCATGGTATGTGCATGCAGACCAGAGGACAACTGTGTGGAGCTGGCTCTTTCCTCCTTTGTGTGGGTTCTAGAGCTCAAACTCAGGTCATGGGGTACCTTTAGCTGCTGAGCCATCTGGCCAGCTATTTTCTTTATTCTCTCAAGGCTAACAATCCAGGCAAACCAAAAAGTTGAGAAGGACCTCTGCTGCCAGTGAGGACAGCTGCAGAGAGCTCCATAGCTGTGTATATACAGGAGTGTGGGAGAAGCAGCCTGATTTGAAAAGAATGTAAAGAAGGTTTGCTCAGGGAATCCTGGTAACCAAAAAGAGGGATCCTTGACCTAGGCTGGTATAGAGGGTTAGAAGAAAGGGGTGCTAGTACAGACAGATTCTGGGAAGGGTGTGTCAGGGAAAGGGAACTGTACAAATCAGAAACAGACTGTCTGGTTTCAAAAGCTCTAGGTCCCTCTACAGGACACAAGTGGAGCAGTAGAGACTCTGGGAAAGAGAAAGGAGTTCAGAGGTAGGTATCATCTCTGTGCCCCCAGTACATTCTGAGACACTATACGGTAATCTGGAAGGGTTCCTACAGCCTGACACTCTCCTGGCCCCATTGGCATTTAAACAAAAAGCCTTTTTTTCTTTTGTCTTCCTGTCTGTCTGGTTTGACAGATAACCTATGCTTCATTCCACATGAAGGGACTAAGTCTTGACATGAGGTGGAACACCCATGCTTCAAGATGTTAGGCCAACCCCTCGCTGACTGGCACCTGGATGAAAACCTGAGGCTTTGGGATGGGTCTGGCTAGCTTTAACCCTGCAAGCCTTTCTATTCAAACACCTTAAGCAAAACCCAAATGTTTTTGAATCTGTACCTCGCTCCGAGTTCTTTCGAAGGTTGCTAACTGAAGAATAAAATTTAAAGATTTGAAAAAACAAACAACAACAACAAAAAAGGAAAACAAAACCAAGCCAATTTTCTGGAGATTATGTTGTATCAAATAATACTTATTTACATAACCTGTAGTTCATATTAATATTACTTCTACAGGCTACTTTCTTCCCCACAAATACCTAAAAAGAAATTTAGCTGGGCGAGGTGGTGCACGCCTTTAATCCCAGCACTCGGGAGGCAGAGGCAGGTGGATCTCAGTGAGTTTGAGGCCAGCCTGGTCTACATAGCAAGTTCCAAGACAGCTGGGGATACAGGGAAACCCTGTCTCAAAAAAGACAAAAAAAAAAAAAGAAAGAAAAGAAATTTAGGTGGCTGGGGATGTAGCTCAGTTGGTAGAGGGTCTGCCCAGCCCCAGCACTGCACACAGTGAATGAGATGGTGCACACCTGTAGTTCCAGCGCTCAGGAGGCGGAGTCAGGAGGTAAAGAGTTCAAGGGCACCCTTGGCTATACAAGGAGTTCCAGGCCAGCTAGGGCTACAGGAAGACCTTGTCTCAAAAAAAGAAAAAAAATAGTTATAAAACTTCTAATTTGGGGGCTAGAGAGATGGTTCCATGGTTAAAGAGCACTGGCTGCTCATACAGAGGACCCAGGTTCAATTCCCAGCATCCACATGGCAGCTAACAACCATCTGTTAACTCCAGTTACAGGGAATCTGATGCCCTCTTCTGACCTACACAGGCATTGAATATCATGGGTACACTTACATACATGCAGGCAATACACTCATACACATTAAAAAACAAACAAACAAACAAAAAACAAACTTAAGCCAGGCGTGGTGGTGCATGCCTTTAGTCCCAGCGCTCGGGAGGCAGGCAGAGGCAGGCGGATCTCCGTGAGTTCAAGGCCAGCCTGGTCTACACGGTGAGGTCCAGGACAGCTAGGGCTACAGGGAAACTCTGTCTCAAAAAGACCCCCCCGAAAAAAACAAAAAACAAAACAAAAAAAAAAAACTTGTAATTTGGGGCTGGAAAGATGGCTCAGCAGTTAAGAGCACTCTGTCATCTGAGCTACATCTTTTTATGCCTTTTTGTTGTTGGTTTTTTTTTTTTTTTTTTTGAGTCAGGGTCTCTCTATTTAGCCCAGGCTACTCTGAAACTTTGTATGTAATCCAGGTTGGCCTTGAACTCATAGCTAATCTTCCTGCCTCAGCTGCCCCAGTGCTATGATATAGCTATGTTCTACTATGCCAAGTAAAATAATTTTGTTCGTTTTTTTTTTTTTTTTTTTTTTTTTGAGGTGGGGTCTCCCTGTAGCCCCAGCAGGCCTGGAATTCACTATGTAGACCAGGCTGGCCTCGATCCCACAGAGATCTACCTGCCACTGCTTAATATATTTTTTAGAAGACTTATTTATGGCCAGGTTTGGTGGTGGATGTCTTTAATCTCAGCACTCAGGAAGCAGAAGCAGGCAGATCTCTGTGAGTTCTAGGCCAACCAGGGCTACATAGTGAGACCCTGTCTCATAATAAAAAATAAAATTGCAGGGGCTGGACAGATGCCTCAGCAATTAAGAGCACTGGATGCTCTTGCAGAGGACTGGGGTTTCGTTCCCAGCACCAACAAGGCAGCTAAAAGCCATTGTTAACTCCAGTGCCAGGGGAATTTGACACCTTCTGACCCACTTGGGCAATGCACAACACAAGTGCACTTATACACATGCAGGCAATACACTTATATACATAAAAATAAAAATAATAAACTGTTTATTTTTATTTTAGGTGAACAAGTGTTTTCCCTGCATATGTATGAATGTATACCAGGGAGACCAGAAGGCATCAGAGTCACAATATGGGTGCTGGAAACTGAACGTGGATCCTCTGCAAGAGCAGTAAGCACTCTTAACTGCTAAGCCATTTCTCCAGTTCCAGAAATAAAGTATTTTTTAGCATCAAAGAGAACACTATAAGGGCACACTAGCGGGAATTTTCCAACTATGTATATATTTCTCAAAATATGCTGAAGAGCTCTCCTTATCTTTGAGAAGCAGACAATTAGCAGTTGTAGATTCCATGTTTATAATGGCATACACAGGCATTCTTTTTAATCAACCAGGACCCAGAAACTGTACAACTTTGGGAATTACAAACTAAAGCTGCTTAAAAAAAAAAAAAATAGAGGAGCTACAGAGATGGCTCAGCAATTAAAGTCACTTGTCGACTCAGGTTCAGGTCCCAGCACCCATATCTAGTGGCTCACACCTGCCTGTAACTCCAGTTCCAGGGGATTTAATAGGACCTTCTGGCCTCTGTGGGTACTTGCATGTACATGGTGCACATACATACACTTAGGCACACACACATTAAATAAAATAATAAATCTTGGGGTTGGAGAGATGGTTCAGTGGGTAAGAGCATGGACTGTTCTTACACAGGATCCAGGTTTGATTCTTAGCACTTACATGGTGGCTAACAATCATCCTTAATTCCATCCATTTCCAGGGGAATCCAATGCCCTCTTCTGACTTTCCAGGGTATCACATGCCACGGGTGCACTTAAACACATGCAGGCAATATACTCATACATATAAAGTAAAAATAATAAGTAAAATATTTTAAAAAATAAAGTAATAACTCTTTTAAAAAAACTAATTGAAAGTTGGTAAACATTTGGACCAGCGTGACACAGTGCCATAGAAACTTGGTTTCCAATCTCCTGAAGTGATCCCAATTTTAAACATTCTCTCCAGCTGAAAGTCACCTTAAAGGGTATTATTCAGGCAAATAATTAAGTGTCCAGTGAGTTCCTGGCAAGTCTGAACCAATTAGGCAGCCTTTGATCCTATAACTGGCCTTCAGCCAGAGTAAGTTCAGCCAGACTGCAGGACCAGTAGGAACTTGCTAGGCACACTAAACCTCAGGACCAGTGGGACAGGCATGTAATGAAGTTGGTATTTAAAGGTGGGGGGCCACTGGCCAATTATTTCAGCCCACTTTCTGGTGCCCACTGGAAAGATCTGACAACTGTTGGGCCAGAGAATTAACCAGAAGAAAGGCTGACACTGGTATGCAACAAGTCCGAGGAGTTGTCTTCCTTTTCTAAAAAGAAATTTATCACGTT